TCATCTTTTACAAGACGAAGGTATAGAACTCATCTTCGTCCAAATATAAGAAGTAATCACTTATCACATCCAACAACCGTATCCCCAAGTTCAAGTTCTACCTCAGATGTAGACACTATTGATCATGAGACATGCCTAAATAACGGTTTTCTTCATTCTCGTAGAGTTTCTAAACGAAGTAATTTACTGTCCAGTAATTCTATGTTGTCCACTTCTTCCTCGTCATCATATATGTCGTCCAATGATATAAATTTTGCGAATCCTTTGAACGATTGGCCATCATGGGTTGTACCGTGTAAAGAATGTGTTGTATGTTGGCAGAAATTCCGTTTAGGTGTACGCCTAAGTGCACTTCCATGTGGACATGGTTTTCATGAACATTGCATTCGAAAGTGGTTAGATACTGGTGCATTTGAATGTCCTGTCTGTCGGTGGCCAGCGTACGCACCTCATTTACGGCAGCAATGTCAAATGATTGAACAGTTGATTAGTGCCGTTCAAAATACTATCGATTTTGCAAAACGTTCTAATAACAAAAATTAGTAGTCGACATTATTCACTTCTAAAAGTATAGTTGTAGATAATCACTCAACTAACTTTTTTAGCAGAAATTGTTTATCTTCGTAACGTTTACACTCCGGTTTATTATTTGTACAAATTCCTTCTTTTTAATAAAATCAGAAATATGCTTTTCGTAAAATACTCTTTTTCCTCATAGAATAAATATGCATGTTTGCGTTACGAAGTTGACTTTCAGTAAATGTATTTTTCCAAGAAATATATGTTGTGATTATATATATATATATATATATATATATATATATATATTAGCCGTTGGTTGATAATCTAAAAGTTCCTTCATAGTTTGAGTTTATTCTAAGCCTACTCTTTATTTCGACTCAAACGGATAGTTTCGTTCGCTATCAAAATTAACATAGAAGTTTTATGTAGGATACAAAGTACCAAATGAATTTATTGGTTTCCGAGTGATATTTGCCTTACTACCTGATTAGATTTTCCACTTAGTTTATAAATATCTGCGGGAGTACGTTTTATCATGTCAGATATACTTGTTTTAAGGCGTTATGACTAGAAGCAGCAAATGAGTCATGCTCAATTGTTTTGACGTGTGATGGTAGTTTGGTATGTCCTATAAATAGACAGTCTCTCCAGCTGTTCTGCCTTCTCACAACAGAAGGGAGTTAGGAAAGATCGGCTCTAGGAGTAGTACACTTGACCATCCATGGATCGTAAGGTCTGCAAAATACTAATGCATCCAAGTGTATTCACATGATAACGTAACATCTATCTTGTCACACTTCTAATTTGATAGGGCTACTACCTGCCCAACTTCCTTCTCTGGTCCTTGAGAAAAAAATCCTTCCACGATGTGGATAGCAGGCGTTAAAAAACTAACAGCACTCGATTTTTTCCATCTTGTGATACACCTTAAACATTTGGCGTAAGGTTGAACTGTGGCCCATTATTACACATCTTACATCTTACATGTTTTCGTCATTTAGATGTAGTAGTCAAAACACCATCAACTTATGATCTGTAATAAATAACACAAGGAAATTTGTTGCTCATTTCACTAGTAAAGTTTTCCTCGTACCGATTCGAATTTTTGGTAAATTGAACTAGCACTCATTTTATACTAGATCTTATGTTATAATTAATTATTAGTGCGATGAACTATTTTCCCAACCTACAATTTGTATGCTTTCACAGATCAATGGATTCTTAGTATTTATAACATCTAACTTTTCGATACATCCGTACACTAAGCTAATAATTTTTCAACTATGAATTCATTCACAATGAATCAAATTGAATCTTGTCGTCTTTCCTGCTCGTCAACTAGGAATGGACTTCTAAGTTTGTCTTTAAGATTTGTTGATGGAGACCCTAGGATATTACTATTCATTTTGATATATTTTATATACATATTTAATTGTGGTGACTAATAGTAAAGTAATTTGTCACATTTAACGAACTTCACACAAGTCTAAGATGAGTGAACAATGTGCTGAATGAAAGAACTGGACGAAAATCACGAAAGATTAGTTTAAAAGTCAAGCGAAAAGAAATTACATTGAGTTTTTTTTTAAATACAATTAATGTTGCACTGAACTAATACGAGTCATGTAAATGAATGTTACCATTAAGTTATTACATCATACCGAATTTCTTTCTAATAAATTACATTCAAGGATTTAATCTCCAGCGATTTTAGAGGAGAAACAAATATACGATACATTGAATGCATATCACCTCTACTTATTTTGAAATAATAATACTCTTTGAGAGCATACAGTAGCAGAATATACTACCAACAAGTTAAACAATCAATTCTATCGATCATTTTAACAAGGATTTTAAGATGTGCATCGGACTATCATATAGTTTAATCTGACACGTCTAGTCTACTTCAAAATCTATGTGGTGTAAAGAATTTTCAGTTATGAGCACTGATCCTAAGTATTGTTTTTTTGTGGAACAGACGTAAAAGAAATACTATTATTTGAGTTACTTAAATGGCATAACATACAAATTTCCGATTTGTAAATTATTTATTTGACCTTAGGAATCAAAAGCTCCATTTCTAATTAAGTGTTCACATTCACTTGATTCCGTAATCACAATATCATCAGTGTAGATCTAACTATTGAGATTGAAATCTTTTTTCTCAATATAGTTCCTACCAGTCAATCATATCGGGATGTAGCAGTTAAAATTCACCCATTATTATGAAAAGATTTTAATTATGTTAACTGTCTCGGTGTATGTTTTCAAAATACCTTTATACGTTTTAATCACTGGCAAGCAACCATTGTCATGTTTAGTCATTTTCACAGGTTCAAAGCTTTGCCTCCGAACACGCAAAATGTAATTTTATACTCAGAAACTCTCAACAATATTAACACAATATAGCTTGTTTCAAATTACTTTCTGTTAATAAAATTAAACTGTAATCATAAGAGCTGTGAATATGCTTATACTATTACTTTCTAAATATGAACTACCTGACATTATGTAGTTTGTTCCACGCTGGTAAAGCACTATGATTGCTGTTATTTTTTGCCGGTGAAATCATTACATAATTGTATTGAATTAGAATTAAAAATTTGTTGAGATTTTAAGTCACAAGATATCTTGAGTTTGTCCGTGTGATTTCGTTTATAGTATACTTGAGGAATTGATTGATCATGTAAACAATAATTATACGGACCTAACTGAAAAGCCCACGTACGTTTGATCTATTGGTTTGTTAAGTGCTAGATTTGTAATACTCCCCAGAAAGAACTGATAAGTGGGGAAACACCTTTATACTTGAGTGATTCGTGTTTCCACACCGCTGTATCGTCCTTTTAATGTCTGGTTGAGATATTTATGCCCACTTATCAACTTTGAATGGCTATGATGACCCTGTTTTGTAATGAAGCTAGTCTTGATGGGCACACAACACTTTTGTGTATCATTACTCAAATCATGGGGGTTGTATTTAAGACACATGAGTTTTGATATGCTCCTATTTACTTGGTTTTTACCACATATTCTCCAAAAAATTGTGAGCCTTGATCTCAGGACTGATTATTCAGCACGTGGTTATTAAACGGAAATAACCCACTTGTACCAGTTGAATTAGTTGTATGGTCACTGTTCTACTCTATGTTCTCAATTTTTATTTGTCAATATAATTGCCATTACTTTTTGTGCATCAGTTAAAGGAATTCATTTTATCTTACTAATTGGAGTGTTTAATTTTTGATATATCCAAAACAGAATTACGAAACCGATATCAATTTTTATTAAGTAATTAATTTAACTTTTTGGGTATTGTGATGTTTTACATTTTAATGAAATGACTAAATAACAAAAATCAATAATTTAAGTTTGATCGGAACTTAAAAGTTCACTTTTCTCCCATCATTTATTTGTCCAAACTTGTGTTATTGTTCAAACTATTTAGAATCAAACATGCTTCAATATTAAGACAGTGCTACTGTAAGAGACTGAACTAGATATAATTTAAACAAATTTCGGTATGTATGAAAGTTGTTTATATTTGATTTTCATTATTTATTATGAATGATTATATTTTCAGAATGGGTTTTGTGGAGATTTTTTAGAAATTTCACTAGTTGAAATCATGAGTCAATTGAAGCTAGACCACTATGGAAAACCTGGAAGCTCTGGATGGCCGTTTCGTCTTAGTATGGGACTCCTCAGCAGTGCGCATCCACGATCCCGCTCCTCGCGAGATTCGAACCCAGGACCTATCAGCCTAACCAACTAAACCACTGAGCCGGCATCCAACGGTGTTAATTTCTTAGGAGTCCCATACTAGGACGAAACGGCCGTCTAGTGCTTCCAGGTTTTCCATAGTGGTCTAGCTTCAATTGACTCATGATTTCAACCAGTAAAATGAATATATTTGGTTTCGATTCATAATATCTGTATGAATTTCTTATTATTAATTTTGGGGCAGTTCAATTTATCGGCTGCTCCATCTAAGGACATGAGCATATTAACTTTAATAAAATGACTAATGATAAAGTGGTATGTAAAAGCACCATTTTGCCACTTAATACATATATTTCTAATATTCATACTTACAGTTCAACTTAAAAATGTGAAGTCTGATAAGGTCACAAATTTGTAATAACTTAGACTGTTGATACATGTATTCTCATTTAGGAAAATTCAATTCAAATAGTTAGGGAATCTACCGATCTTGGGACAATATACATTTCATTTCTCTTTAAACAGTCCGAAATCGTGACGATATTCACTGACTAATAATCACTTTTGTGTTGTTAATTAGGTCAGATGAGATCATTAAGATAAGTGACTAGTTATAATATCGTATTTTTATCTTAAGTATAAGTGTATAAAAGTAATGAACAAGAAGCTTAAGACTGGTTTCTATCTAGTTAAATTCATTATCAAAGTATACCTCCCTATTTGTTTTAAAAAAAAACGGTACTGTTTTTACAGATTGACTATTGTAACCAAATAATTCCCTAACTCTTCGGGAATTATGGATCCTATTTCTAAAAGTCTTTATCCAATCAATGATGAAAATAACAGCAGTACAGAAAATTGGAGTCAAGATCCAGATTTAACAGATCAGAATCAAGTCCCCTTATCTACAACTGTAATTCAGTCTGTTTCAGATGATGATAACCAACCTGTTGTTGAACAACCGTTTAAAAAGCCAAAATTGATTAATTTGGTAGGTTTGTTTTGTTTTAAAGATTTTGTTTTTGATATTCGACTAAATAATTTACAACATGTTCCAGTGGTTTTCTTTTTAGTAAGATGATGTTCTGAATCACTCCATTTTCATTGTTGTAAGCGCCCAAATATCAACCTGTTGGTTACTGTTTTTGAACCGTTCTCTAACTAATAAGCTTGTCTCATTTGTTTACCAATAATAGCTTCCACACAGTGGGTGTAATGAATAGCCTAGCTTCGAAATTGTTGAGATGATTATTCAGTCACACTATCCGACAACTGCGTATACTGTAGATTAAATCTCCACATATCAATCGAAACGGCAATCCAGCCTATTATTAAAAAAAACTGATTTCAATAGATATCAAATAAACTTCACATTATTATTATTGTTATTACCATTATAATTGTTACTATTATTATTAACCAACTGACTGACTTTATTCTTCAATTTAATTGTGTTAGTCGCAGCAAGAAGAGTATTTTCCATAAATATAGACAGTTCATAATAATTGCGTGTTAGCTGTGATATTGCCCGGGTGCCCAGACCGAAGCAGGTGGTTTTCTTAGGGTACCACACCCCGAGCCTTTGACCTAAATGTCTGACCCACAAGGCACTGGAGCATCGTGAGAAGATGCAATTGGTGTCATCATCTTGAAATATCGACTTCAGTGACTTGGACATGTTCTACGAACGTCGTCCCGGAGAATTCCACGTCGCGCATTATTTGCCGACGCTAGGACTGGTTGGAAGAAGCGGAGAGGTGGTCAGTGCATGACATCGTGTCGTGGCATCAAAGAAAGCTACAAAGGACTGGCTTGCGTTGGTCCTTCACGACTGCCTGGTTGGGGTCCGAGAGATGGTGCGACACAGTGACTAGAGACGTTATCAGATATGGCTCCAAATAGAAGCCAATGGCGATCCTGCTGTAATCTTCTTTTACTTCTTCATAAAAAGTGGTTGTATCTTTCTTTAACTGAAAGGTTTCTTCTGATTTTACCTTTTCGTTCCCCTCATTATTATTATTACACTTCCTAACACTAATCTTTACGTTATTTTTTTTCTACGCTCCTTACTTTTTTCTTCCTTCTTTTCTTCAAATTGTCATTGTTTTGTGTGGCGCATATTTATTTGGTGCCCTCTTGTACCAATATTTATGTGTTCAAATTAAAAAATAAATTCTTTAATTTATAGTAATGTTCATTCTGTTTAACACTTCCGCATAATAAATGTTTTATCTCATTAAATGTAACAAATAAGCGTGGTCAGTTGTCCATTGTCTTTTATGATTATTATTGCCGTTCAGTTCAAAGACTGTTAATGAGTATGGCAGTTCAGTAGTTTTAGCTCTGGTGGTACTCACCCAAATCTTAATACTTTTCATGTAAACAATTAACGTAACAGTACTCCATCAGTATCGTATTTAAAGACTAAGTACATTTTTAGGATAATTAAAGAATGATGTGATAATCGACTTGTAATTTTTTTCTGGGGTTTACCATATGATGTTACTGTTACAATAAAAATAGGAGTAATAAAGTTCGGATTCAAACAATCATGAATATTGCACAGAATTATTTTCTCGTTTTTTAGACATGCTAAAAGTATGACCGAAATAACACTGACCTCCGTTCTGTCACGGTTGGTCGATAACGGTCACGTAGTAGATAGAACCAAATCAACTAAGAGAAATTTATCATATAACTAGTACTTTAGCTTATGGGGTTTGATTCCATCTTTTCCATAAGTCAGAAGCTATAGGGATTCCAGCTAACTACCCAAGTCTTTGTACTCGTAAGAAATTTTTAACACCCTTATATCTTCCTTGAAGGAACTAAGCTTAGCAAACGGTTTTACTTATTATTATTCATACTCATTGTTCGTTCATTTTTCTTTACCCCTTTTCTGAATTTATTCTTCACTGTCTAATTATTTGGATACTTCTTATTACATAATTTTAACAACTTTAAATGAATGTTATTTCAATGTCCTACTTTTTATGATCAAACATTGATTCAAGCCTTTTTTATTCTTATCACAACTTGTAAACCTATCATCACACTATCAATTTATACTTTTTACTAATTATGTTTAATTATATAATCTATTTTATCGTTATAAACTGCCTGAATTTGTTTAATATTTTTGTATACCCTATAAATACTACTGTCTATTAGAATATAGACTGATAAGGAAATGCTTTTCTTATTTTTTTTATCTCGCGGGAGGCGGGATCGTGGGCGTGCACTGCTGAGAAGTTCCATACTAGGACGAAACGGCCATCCAGTGCCTCCAGATTTTCCATGGTGGTTTAGCTTCAATTGACTCATGATTTCAGCCATTGAAATTTTAATGTTCTTTGCTTTTATGTCACATATATTTTACTAAATTAACACAAAATGTTAATGATAATTCCGTTCAATTTTTTTTCGTTCCAATTTCTTTTTAAGAACAATGTAGATTCATCACAAACTAAACGAGGTGCATCTAATTTATCTAATATTATTTCAGTCATTGATCATTCATCTGTTCCTTCGTCATCTACTCATGTATCAGAAACTGTAACAAATCAATGTGAAGTTGAAATTTTAACTAATACTAATTTGTTAGATGATGAAGAAACAGTTGAAGATGATGATGATGAAGAAGAGGTGGAAGAAGATGATGATGAAGAGGAAGAAGAGGACGATGAAGATGACAGCGCTACTGTACTTGGTGATGCAGATACTGAATCTGTTGTCAGTGAAATTCTATCATCTGCACTACTACAAGAAAAAGAAGCAAGAAAAATAGAAGATCGTAAATTACTGGCTTTATTGGCACATTTTGATGAGGAGCAGTTAAATCGATTCGAAACATTTCGAAGAGCTACATTTACTAAAGCTGTAGTAAGACGAGTAAGTTTATAGTTTTATTTTCCTGTTTTTATATTTATTCTTTGTGAATTAGCATCAATGATTAATTTGAGTTAATAACTTATTAGTTTTTGATTTTATTTATGATCAAATTAAATATGAGAACTAGATCGCAATTTAATCTACTTAAGTCATTGACGAAGGTTATTACAAATAGATAATTCAAAAATGTTTTGACCAGTTTTAGAAATTTGTGATGATAATATGTGACAGGACAGTTAGTTTACTTGCACCCTTTATTCATCAAACAACCTGGGAATGGAAAGTTGATCAGTCGTAAGCAACTTGTAACCTAATCCGTGCATCGGTTTAAGTTGCCACACCACAATTTTACAAAGGGAGATAGAATTATCAAAATGAATTTTAGTACCGTAGTAGGATCAGTAGAATTTTTAGTGATAGTGAAAACAATGAAACAGAGAATATGATTTGAAAAGAATGAATAAATCTGATAACTTAAGTAAAGCCTGTTAGCTAATACTTAAATTCGTATAGAGTTATGTTTTTAGTAACAATGTTATTGCAGGTCTTTTTTCTCACCAATAAATGTGATCAGTGGAGGACTTCCTTAGTAAATCATTTGGTAAATATCATAAATATCAACCATATTTTAAAAAGTAATCAAAATACTCAACATAACGGACCATAAGTAAACATTATACTGTCATAATTATCCATAGTGATAAGTTTATTTGTTTAATTTAAATCCAAGTGACCTATTAGCGATTCGGAGTTGATTTACTTATTTTTATATGGATAAATTTGAGTTTTTGAATCCGAGAATGCCTAGTTAAATACTTAAGTGCTTTTGTCTTGACCCTATACAACCTGAGGTTATTTTTCATCATGTACTGTTATCATCAAACAAAAATTTGAGAATAAGACAGAATTTATCGGCTACTTCGTCTCATTAATGTTCAACCATTATTCCACACAGCACCAATAGCAGGATCTTCAGGTCTCACGATGAGCGATCTACTATTGAACCACTGAATGAGAATTCAATGTTCCTCACTTTACAGTTAAATAATTTAGACAGAACTGTGAAACTAAGGAATTGTTGAATACTTATATATTATTAAGTAATCAGACAATCTGCCAATAATTATTAATAACTCAATAAATTTCATCATTAGAACATTAAAAACACCTGTTTCCCATTCAGTTCGCGCTTAATTGGTTTGTTCAGTTTCTCAATTAGTGCATAAAGTGTGTAACTACTTCTTCTATTCAGTAGTATACTAAGTATTCAGAAATATAATATCCATTAGTTTTTGATTGGATGGATTTAGAAAGATCCTTTTGTCATCGGAACCAACTAATTTTGAATTATGAGGAAATACGGCTTGAACTGTTGGGTTTACGACTATTTTATAAAATTATTTTTTTTACACTAAATAAGAATTTTTTCTATCATTTAAATTCACATTAGCTTTGTCAGTTTAACAAAACCAAATGTTCTTTTCCATTTTAACTAACTTAAGAAATGTAACTAGTGAGACTATAATCTTCGTGTGACCTTTGAGCGACGCTAGACTGACCTTGAGAGTGTCCACTTAATAACTAGGACCAAATGTGAATTATAAATCTGTGTGAGGAATTATAATTATGATTCACAGTTGATGGTTAAGGTTAGGAATTAGATTTAGGGTTTTCATCACGAACTGACATCAGCTATAATGCCAAAACATTTTAGCCAAATGGATGAATGAATTTCGCACCAAAATCCAAGACCTGTTGTTTTATACATGATTGGTTCGTCCATAAATTATAATCTCGCCATGTAACTGTTTGAATAAGATTTTACCGTTTATAAATATACAAGATTACAATATTCAATAATATTAAGATTAGTTTCAATTGGACTTTAGTGAATATGGATCTCATTATCAAGATCTTTCGGCTGATTCCTTTCAACTTTTATAATTATTGTAATTATTGGTCGAATAACTGTGAACAGTTAACTACATCTCTTATTGTTCAATGGTATACTATATGTCTAGATAATAATTTAAAAAAATAATTCTACTTTCCTTTCTACACAATTGATATTCATATTTATATGACAGGGATAGTAAAAAAATTATTCTAGTTAAACTAAATAATCACTAACTGAAAAAAAAGCATGTTTTAAGGTTTCTTAATTTTTTGTTTGTTTTCGTCTTTAGTACTAACTTCTATCGATTTCTGTTTTACTCAGATTAACTTACAAAATTACCAAACAATATATGTTTTAAACAATAAATCCGTGTTATTCTAATGTTTATACACTTTGTAAATGTTACCTTGTTTTGATTTATCATAAAACTAGAAAAAAAAGATTGATTCACTTGTCATGATGAATAAATCTAGTGTGAATTTCACCGACTTTTTTCTTGAATAAAAAGTGACAAACTAGAGATTTATCATTATTATTGTTATTATTATTATCATTATTATTATTATTATTATTATTATTATTATTATTATTATTATTATTATTATTAGTAGTAGTAGTAGTAGTAGTAGTAGTAGTAGTAGAGTAGTCTTAGTTTTATTATTCTAATGTATAAATCCATAATTATTTTAAATTTTGATAGTAATAAGAGTTTATTTATAACAAATTCGGGTAACAGCTGGTATTCGGATCAATAATACGCGTTTTATTTCAATTTAAACTGGAGGTACATACATCTTAGTATTGAGTTTTACATTATGATTCGAACTCATCGTTTCACACGTAAGATGATTATCTAGTCAGCTACTTAATCAGAATAGTAATCAACTTATTCAATAAATATGATACTTATTATTCACTGAATGGGTTCTTACCTAAGTAGAGAAGTCGTAGACTGGAATTCAAATATATTAAAACGGAGCACGTGTCATGGATTTTATTATTATTCATACCGGAAACCTAGTTAGGTTGTGATGTTAACAGAGACTAGTCAAATCTATTCCTAAACATCAACAACGTTGAAGTACAAATCTTTCTGGAACGCCTAATAGATTACTATGGTTTATATAACGGATGGTTTAAAATGTTTCCCTCTCTCAGGTATACTACGATACTACGTTAATATTCTAAGTAGACAAGAATCCACGACCCGAAATAGAGAACCAGAACACTAGTTAGTACATTATTCAACACAGTTTCAAGCGGTCACTTTCAATAGGTCCGAAGTAGAAATCAATGAGAGGAAAAAAGATCATGCATTTAATAGTCAGTAAGCTAATTGCCTCTTTGTTCGCGCTCAACGACAAATTACATTTTATTTTCACTACCACACATCAATGATAAATAAATGTTTAATCCGAACTGTGGATAGATCATATCACACCAAACCACTGAGCATATCAATAAGCATCAAAGATTATTTATTCTGAAAATATTCAACCAAAATCAGCTTATTGTCACCTGGTCTCGAATTCTATGATTACGCGAATAGACTTACATGTTGTGTAAAACTGACTACTTATACAATTTGTGCACATTTATATTCTCAGTTTGTAATTTCTGTCAATATAGTCTGTGACGTTCACATCTGTATCTTAATTCCTAGATCGAACAAGCATATTTATGTTCACGTGAAAATCCAGGTTATAACGGAATCATCTAATCCTAATTTCGCTGATCTAAAGATGTGATACTCTCCGAACGATTTGATAGTTACGTATTCAAACTCGTTTGGAGTTATGAGTGAACATTACTGAAAAGTCCCAAATAAAATGGAACAACTATTCAGTACATCTTGATGTTATTTTGGGACAAAACTAAATTTCATTTTTTTTCATTTTTCAGTGTAAAATATTTTTTTCTTAGCGGTTAATCAAATAGTCCTCATCTCTATGGGATTTCATCTTGACAGAAAAATTGAGTAATGACCGTGTTTTCCGTTTCGTTTACTTAGTATTACTGTCATGGTATTGTTTTTGCTTCAGTTAAAGTGTTCATCACTTCATTCGTTTAACTGGCCATCCTGATTCGAGAAATTTGTGGTTTGAAAACCTACGTGTAAGTACGAAAAAGTGATTTCCATTCGTTAGCCTTCAGAACTATAATCTAAATTCAAATAACCTGGTATTAGTTGTGTTAGTTTACATTGAAGCTAATCTTAATGTATTGTTCAACGTAGATATCTGTTTTTCTCTTTGATGAACATATTCATATTTGAGAATGATGTTTGTTACTGATTGAATTCATTTATAGCACCACTAAAAATAAGGGGATATTGAATATTTGTTTTGTCCTAGATTAGGGTTTCTCGAAAGTACGCAACTATTTATTTAAATCTTCTTATTCCCATTTAGTCTTAATTTTTTATGTCACATGATTTAATATTCTGTAAACAAATACAATTTATGAACTTTTGTAAGAAGAAAAGTCTAACAATATAATTTGTTTGCTTTTGTCCACAGCTAATACAATCTGTAGCTCCATGTTCAGTTTCACAAAATGTAGTTATCGCTATGGCTGGCTTAACAAAAGTTTTTATTGGAGAATTAGTTGAAGAAGGTAAGGAGAACTTCCTTTTCATCAAAATGTACATACATAAATAACTTAGATAATTGTTATCATTTTTACCCTATAAGATTTGAATGTGACCAACTTGGTCTCGTGTGCTGTTACAGGTATAATGGCTGATGTCACTTCCCAGCTGCCCACAGCGTGAAATGCTATTTCTTAAGGAACCTAAAATAGAAGTTGGATTAGTGTTGGCCTTAACGACCTGGGAGCGTGACCGCGGAGCCCAACGGACAATCGTTTGTGTCAATCTATAGGAAAGGACAAAAGTCCTCTTGTGACAATCACAGACGAATCAGTTTGACTAATGTAGTGCGTCAATTTTTAACTTCAATAGTACTTCGATGCCTAACCAAAGCTCGTGGAGAACAGACTAGAGAAAATCAGGCTGGTTGTCGACCTTGATTTTGTTGTACAGACCAGATATTGGCACTTCGTCAGGTCCTAGAACATAGACACACATTCAGACGCCCCACAATCATAGTGTTTTTCGACCTTATGGCAGCATTCGACTCTGTTGATCGTGAAGTTCTGTGGAAGTGTTTATCACTGAAAGGAGTACCAAAGAATTACATTAACCTTATACAGGCTCTCTACCCGAACACAACTGGTCGAGTGAGAGCTTATGGCGAACTGTCATGAGAATTGATTACCTCAAGTGGTGTTCGTCAGGGCTGTCCGCTCTCTTTATTCTTGTTTAACTTTGTCATTGATGTGCTTTTAGAAATGACACTTGCCTCATCTGAATTCCCAGGGGTTGAACTTCTACCGGAAGATTCACTTTCTGACCTAGAATATGCCGATGATATAGTTCTATTTGGTGAAGACGCTGACAAAATGCAGAGTCTTCTGACCACTCTAAGCAGCAGTGCAGGCATGTTCGGGATGCAATTCTCCCCATTGAAATGCAAAATACTGCTTCAGGATTGGGTTGCATTGACACCCGAACTAATGATAGGGAGTGAAGTAATTGAGCGTGTCGACCGCTTCACTTATCTTGGAAGTTTGATCAGCCCTTGTGGTCTGGTGTGTGACGAAATCTCAGCACGAATACAGAAGGCTCGATTAGCTTTTGCCAACTTGCGTCATTTATAGCGTAGGCGAGATATCCGTCTATCAACCAAAGGACGTGTTTACTGCGCAGTATTTCGTTCCGTACTACTTTATGGCAGTGAAACATGGCCAGTAATAGTAGAGGATATTCGTAGGTTACTAGTATTCGATCATAGGTGTCTTCGAAACATTGCTCGTATATCCTGGGACCATCGATTAAGTAACGCAGTTGTTAGGAAACGGGTACTAGGTAAGGATGGTAAATCGATTGATTAAATAGTGGAACTTCATCAGTTGAGATGGCTGGAACACATGTTACGTATGCCCAACCACCGCCTGCTTCGACGTGCGATGTTTTCTGGTGTAGCAGTACAGTAGGTTGGAAGAAAGCTAGGGGCGGCCAGACCAAAACATGGCACAAATCCATGAATTCATTAACAAGTGGACTGAGCCATGTCGGTAGGTGTAGACTACCTGGTTAGGATCTACGAGACGATAGCAACCGATGGTTAGAGACTGTGAATGCCATGGCTCAAAATCGTTTGCAATGGCGTAGGTGCATCCACTCTTTGTGTTCTCCCAAATTCTAATCTTCTGAATTCTTCATGTCCCATTTTTCCTTTTTCCAAATTTATTTCACTGTATTATACTCCTTGAATAACATCTTCACACCATAATGTTTGCGAATACTGCTTATACTCTTACTACCTCTACCACTACGGAATTTGGGTCGACAACTGCATCTCTGTGCTAATGTGGTGTGACAACTCGAACTGATGTACGTACGTACAAAGTTCCACGTTGTTACTGACTGACTCACTGACCCTATCAGAATGAAGGTTTGTGGAAATTGTAGTGATTTACTAGTTGAGTTCATGATTCGATTTAATTTATTCCACTCTGGAAAACCTGGAAGCACTGGACGGCTATTTCGTTCAGCGTGCGGGATCATGGATGTTCGCTGCTGAGAAGTCCCATACTTGAACGAAATGGCTGTCCAGTGCTTCCAGGTTTTCCATGGTAGTCTAGCTTGAATTGACTCATGAATTCGACTATTAAATTCGTATGACCTTGTTCTTGTGTTAAACCAATGATACATCAATACAACAGTAGCAGCCTTGTATCAACTCTGAATCGTTATTGGTCTTTCTCGCCTGGCCCTACCCATCGAGCATAGAAAGCAATCTCAGCCTCCACTGTATGAACCATTTCAGACATACGTGGTTTGTATACAAGCGAACGGGACCATATCACTTCATAAAATAAAATTTAACAATCATACATGATCAAGCCAAAACGTGGCTGTGAGTGTGAAAGTCTGTAACTAATAAATCGGGATAAGTTAAGAATGGTAAATCGTATCACAATAGCCAATATCAAATGAAATAATTACCCAATAAGAATATATGTAATAACAGTCCATAAATAATTGTTAGCAGTTACCATTGATTTATTCTTAGTTCGGATGTAACATTAATCAAATGTTATTTATTTATTTATTGCTATAAAATTCTCAAAGACATCACCCTTAGGGTTCATTTTGTCTATATTATAAGTATGTAATAGATAATATTTAAATGATATTCATTGGCTTTAATCGCCTAGATTTGCATGGCTTGAGAATACTTTATTTCCCATAGAACTTCAATAGGAACTTTTACTCTTTAGTTCTATAATTCAATCTTGACTATTTTATTCATTTTCTGTGATATAACCTTCACTCTCTTTGTGTCTAATTATTCCATCACATAATGTCTCATCATGTTCTACTTTCCAAGTTCAGTGACAGCTTAAGAATGCGAACGCTTCGTGCGATAAATAGTAGAAACTCCTCTTACAAGATATGTAGTCATCTTTCCCTGAGTTCATGTGTGAAGAATAGTTAAAGTGTCGCTTTCCGTATATGATTAGGTCATAATGAATGTGTATTGCTTGCAGAATAATAATTCAGTTTATATCCCACATTGTGTAAAACATACTAGCTTGTTACAGTACTTAATCATCAGAATGATTTAAAATGTCTATTCTCATCATTTTATTTCAAACTATAAAAACGCGAAAATTAGAGAGATATTGAAACTGAATGATCATAGATGAACTAATTCGACAGGTTCCCCTGTTCATATATCTATTCATTTTTAAAACACAGTTTATGAAAGTTTTTTACAATACAAAAGCACTATGAATTGATTCAATCTAGAAAATCCATTTAAAACAGAATTTTGAATGTTTTAATAATGTTTTCAAGATTAGCTTCTCTCGTACATCTCGTACATACATCGATGATAAAGAGAACTAAATATTAAAACTTTCGGAAGCTCAAAAGAATTATTCGGAAATGCTTTCTAAAACTGGAAAGAGGCTGATAATACTTCGTCCAATTAGCCTTCAGTAGAAACTTCCCAGAGAGTTCAAGAGAAATGATTGATTTTATATTACATAATGATTAGATAATCCTCAATTTTGTTACGAATTTCTGCATGTTTCCAAAAGCTTCTAGAATATCATCTTCATGAGATAACTCATAAGCTTTTTTTTCTTAATTCAAACTTACTTTGAAAGTAAGGCTTCTTTTCATACGTCTCACCCTCTATTCAGCGTTCAAGTGTAGGAGATTTCTATCAAACTTGAAAGCGGTAAAAAGTCAGTGTCAAGCGTTCATATCTTAAACGTGTCTGTTATCAGCAAACATATATAGATAAAATATAAAATCATGACCAGGTCTATTGTGAGACATCAGCTCACTGAAGACGATGGTGTACGGTGGCACAACTTCGTGGATTGGTTGAAGTTAGACAGTAACACTATTGTATGCCGGCTCAGTGGTCTAGTTGGTTAAGCGCCTGGCGCGGGACTGATAGGCCCTGTGTTCGAATCTCGCGGGGTGCGGGGTCGTGGATGCGCACTGGTGAGGAGTCCCATACGAGGACGAAACGGTCGTCCAGGTTTTCCATTTTGGTCTAGCTTCAATTGATTCATGATTTCAATCTGTTATCCTTTTATTATCTGACCCTTTTCTTCGTTTTACTGTCACAACAGCAAATGTTCGGTTAAATCCCTCATTCTGTATATCTCAAACAAACTAGTAATAATGTTGGAGGTGCTGCATTTGTATAAGTTTGAACATAGAATAATATAGTAAACGCACCTTAAATAAAATGAACCACAAGTTCTGACTCCCATAATCAACCACCCCAAAAACGTCCTTTGTTTTAATCAGATTTAGTTGTTTACAAGCGCTTCTACCAACGAAAAATTAGTTAGTTGGAAAATAGGGGCTACTAAACACCCTATTTCTAATCTATTTAGAAGTATATGTTCACGACCAACTTGAAGAACTAATCACAAAACTGATGACCTGAAAACTATTTTCACTATTGAAATGATAGCGAGAATTTATAGCTCATATGAATCCATCCGAATATGTTTCATTCACCTAAATTAGTTGTTCAAATATAACGCTTCTGTTATCGTTCTGGTCAAGATTGGTAGCACCTAGTTAAAAAAGAAATCACTTTTAGAATTATCCCAAAAGTGCTAAATAAGTCTACTTTAATAACAGGACTAGCGATTGGTTATCCTCAAACTGTTTGTTATCTTCTTGTATATCCATATTCTAATTAATTCTATATTAGGTTTATCTCTGACCATCTGATTGGCTGATCTGATTTCCATCAACTGATAGATTGGATACTTCAAGATGCTTATCAATTACAAATTGACCTAGGTATTAGCGATCTAAAAATTATACGGCATTATTATGATTTACTCGGTTCAAAAATCTTACATTATCTCGGGTGACTTTTGTGTACATAACTGTCGACATAAATAGTTTGCCGTAATGTTAACAATATTTATCATAGGTGAAATGGACTTTAGTTACATTATTTGTACACGAGAAAATTCCTCATACTTATTCCCGAAATGTTAACCAGTATAAACCTTAGATGTTTGTTCAACTTTTGATTTAATCTCCCTTCAAATTTATTAGAAAAATTGTCTACCTGAATATTGATTAGTCAAACTGCTGTGTTTTGTAGGCTTTTTATTAGATTATTGATTTTTAATTATTTTTTTTTCATAGCATTAAATTACAAAGAAAAATTAGGTGAAAATGGACCGTTAAAACCAAAGCATATCAGAGAGGCTTATCGTATATTGTCAGATGAACGACGATGCTGTACAGAAACACCAGAAAATCCTCTTTTATAACATGTTTGTATATGTGCTTTAAAGTGTTTTGATCTTTATCAATGTGTTAATGTATTTTAATTTCTTCCATAAATAAAAAATGAACACTTGTAATCGTTAGTATACTTAATGTTGGGAAACGGTTAACCACTGACTAAACTACATTAATATGAACTAGAGTTTATATTACATCAAAATTTATATCTATACTTTGGAGACTGAAAATAATATTTGAATTTTGTGACTGTTTAATTCAAATTTACACTCGAAAAGAATATAAATTAAGTTTTTTACTGTTAGAACTTGTGACCTGTGTGCTCTGTTAATGTAGAACGTAATGATACCGCTAATTAGAGGGCAGTGAATTATCGATCGGACCAACGGCGCATAAAACTAGTGAGAGCAGTCTAAAGTTCTTATTGGTCGTGCTTCGTGCCTAGCTCAGCCAGATAAGTACAGAAAACCAATCTCAGCCTCTGCAATGTGAATAATTTATTTCAAGCATACTGGGTTTATATACCAACCAGATAGACCGCATCGTACCAATAAGATAGGAAACAACATTTATACAAGATTTGGTCGAATGTAGGAGGTAGTAATCAATAGACACGGCTTAATTCAATAATGGTAAATGGTATAATAATATTTCATAGGTCAAAATAAGTCTCGTAATAAGAGGGGCATGACTATGAATAGTTTAATTATTTAACAATTATACGATGAAAATATACGCATAGAATTGGTCCATAAATGGGTCCCAAAAGTTACCCTTCATTATGCTTATCGGGACCTAACATTTACAACATTAAACTTCATTATTTTTTTAACTACCGGGGTTGTTATTACGAACTATTTGAAACATACAAATCTTTATGATCCCTATTTCATCAGCTATGATTGTTTAGATAGTTTTTGACCAATATTTTCTTTTCTAACTCTATCTAGAACTTATGACATAAATGTGCCAACATTAGTTGTGATAATTATAATAAAAACCTTCATATTTCAATGTTATATCTATTTGTTAGCACAAAGGATTCATCTCCACATAGAATTTCGCCCTATAATACAATGCTTTCCCCGAACTGTAATCAGAAAATAACCTGTATCTACTGTGGAAGCTTCTTATAGTTAATGCTTCAGCTGTTGGCCAGGCAACCATCGATTCATACACATTATCCAGTTAGATATGGAACCATTTCTAGGGGATAATTAGGTTAAATGTTATATTTTCAATGAAATATCAACTTTTGCACCTTCGAATAAATTATTTTTTACATCCCGATTTCTATGGATCACTGAATTAAGTAATAATCTCATGGAATTGTACTGAATTTGATGACTCATTGATTGTAGTTTATTTCGAAAATATATTGGTTGGTCTCTGAATAGTGAACCCCCGAATGCCCTGGTGTGGCCGAGAGCGGGGTAGATCCGCCCCCCCTCTCGAAATACTCTCACACAGCCACGCGTATACAGCGTCTGCCACGGAAGCCCTGCTCACTACTTTCTCGTGGCCGGGGTGTTGTTTACGAAAATGAGAGGACGAAAAGCGAATGTCCAGCGCTTTAACCGGATCCCAAACCAATGGTGCATATGGGATCCAGTATCCTGCGGGAACAAATGGCGTATGAATCAATTTTCAGTCACCGGCTACCATGGGACTGCATCTCCTTACGATGCTCCAGTGCCTTGTGGGTCAGACCTTTAGGTCAAAGGCTCGGGGTGTGGTACCCTAAGAAAACCACCTGCTTCGGTCTGGGCACCCGGGTAGTATCACAGCCCACACGCAAATGATGAACTCTCTATATCTATGGAAACTACTTCTCTTGCTTCGAATAACAATCAAATGATTCAAATTATTATTATTATTATTTATTACATCATTATTCACCCTCTTTTATTCCTACTCTGTCTATACTTATTTTTTAGACTTATACAGCAGCTCGTCTTTGGTGGAAATTCGACTCTATCTAAACGTTCTCGATTCACTGTTCGGTTGAAAATTGTATGTTACCACCGAATATGAGTACTGAAGCAGTTTTTCTGAAACCACGTGCACCATTCAAACTGGCTGTCTTCAACGTTCGCACACTTAGGCAGGTTGGACAACAGATAGGGCTGGCTATGTCTTCGAAAAGTCTTAATATCGATGTCTGCTGTCTATACGAGACCCGTATTCAAGACTCTGGTGAAGTACTACAAATTCGCTCTCCACCTGTCACTTCGAAAAGCTTGTTTTACGTGCGCCTATCCAAGGACCCTGTGGCATCTTCGTGTAGTCTTGCTGACGTTGGTGTCGCACTAAGCGCTAGAGCTGAGGCATCACTAATCGATTGGAACCGCATTAACAGTCGGTTATGTGCTGTTAGATTAGAAATTTCCATCAAAGTGAGAAGAAATCGGCGTGAGAAACGTTGTCTTTTCGTCATCTCCGCCTATGCTCCGACAGTTTGCAGCCCGGATGCAATCAAGGATGAGTTTTACCACCAGCTATCTGTTCTTCTCCAGAAAGTGCGTTCGACATATATTGTAGTACTAGCCGGAGACTTGAATGCTCATGTCGGGCGTCTAGGCACGGAAGAGAGTCGTTTAGGTGGCCGATGGAAACTTGTTGGTCACAGGACAGATAACGGGGATCGTCTACTGCAACTATGCACAGACCACAACCTGTTTCTGGCTAGTACTAACTTCCGGCACAGTCATCACCGATGTGCCGCCTGACATCCTCCCTCTGCGTCTCAAGCCTGGACTTAGATTGATCACATCGCGATCAGCTACCGCTGGCGTGGTTGTGTACAAGACTGCCACTCCTTACGGAGTACCTAACTGAACTCTGATCATGCCTTTGTCTGAGCCAATCTCAACTTACTTTTCAGTGACCAACAAAGTGACCGCCATCAACGGATTGCTATTAGCAAGCTGGTTACAACATCTGTTGCAAGTAAGTATCGAACCGAGCTAGCTTCTAGGCTAGCTACCACTCCACCGAAAAATATAGATGAGCATTGGTGGCAATTGCATGACGACATGAAAATGGCGGGTACAGTCAGTTGTGGGTTTGCGAAACGTCCCGCTTATAAGCACTGGGTTTCTTCTGGTTCCTTACAACTTATTGAAGCCCGTCGGTCTACTCCGGGTGACCGTGAGTTTGACCATAAACGAAGGATGTTACGTAAGGAAATTCAGCAAAGCTTGCGTAAGGACCGAGAAGCCTGGTGGTCGGAGCGTGCTAATGAGCTGGAAGCAGCAGCTGCATCTGGTAATTACCGGAAGCTCTTCCAACTCATCCGAGCCACTGTCAGCGAGAAGTCTGGTGTGAGTGAAACAATCTTTGAGGATGACGGGACGCCAATCACTAACATCCATCGACGTCTTGGACGATGGGTAGAATTTTTCGAAGGGCAGTTCAACTGGCCTGCTGCTCTGGCAGCATCGGTCAGACTGTCCTGCCCTCCATGGCCGGTGAAGATTGATCCACCAAATGAGGCGTAAGTCCGCAAGGAACTCCAACTCTTGAAGCGCTACAAATCATCTGGCCCAGATGACTTACCTAGGGCTCTTTTTAAAGATGGTGGTGACGTTCTTGTTAGACTAACTTACAACATTGTTTACAAGACTAGGAACTAGAGAGTGTACCAACGTCACGGAATGAGTCGATAGTTGTCCCTATCCTTGAAAAGGGTTCACGTCGTTCCTGTAACAACTATCGGGGGATAAGTCTACTTTCGATTGCGTCCAAGCTATTGGCTTTCGTCATACTTCGTAGTTTGTTCAAAACCCGAGAAGGATTGACTCGCAAGGAGCAGGCTGGGTTTCGTTCTGGTCGAGGATGTATTGATCATATCTTCACCCTCCTCCAAATGTTAGAACACCGCCATACTTATCAAAGGCCAACAATCATAGTGTTTCTTGACATCAGGACTGCCTTTGATTCGTTGGACAGAACTGTTCTCTGGGATTGTCTATTGAAGAAGGGTTTGCCTGAGAAGTTTATTAACATCTTAAAGGCTCTATATACAAACACCTCAGGCAGAGTGAGGGCATACAACCACCTTTCTCCATTGTTCCATTCGAGCAGTGGGGTTAGGTAGGGTTGCCTAATCTCGCCATTCCTCTCCAACTTTGCCATCGATGACATTCTAGAAACAGCTCTCATGCATGTAGGTAGTGGTGGTGTGGATCTGTTGCCTGGAGAAAGACTTCTCGACCTTGAGTATGCGGACGATATTGTCTTACTGTGCGATAATATCCAACCATGCAATCTGCAATTAATCAGTTGGCAATCAGTGTCCGTAGGTAAGGTATGTGCTTTGCACCTTCGAAGTGCAAAGTACTTCCACAAGACTGGCAGAATTCCAATCCTGTACTCACCCTGGATGGTGAGCAGATAGAGGTAGTCGAGAAGTTCGTGTATCTGGGTAGCTGCATAAGTGCTGATGGGGGTGTGAGTGATGAGATCAATGCACGTATAGTAAAAGCCAGAGCGGCTTATGCCAATCTGGGCCATCTTTGGCGCCTTCGTGATTTCATTCTGGCTGTAAAAGGTCGGATCTACAACGCGTCGGTGAGAGCAGTTTTGCTCTATGCTTGTGAAACCTGGCCTCTCCGAGTTGAGGATGTTAGACGACTCTCTGTGTTCGATTATCATTGTCTCCGAAGGATTGCTGACATCCAGTGGCAACACCATGTTAGTAATGCAGAGGTTTGGCATCGTGTGTTCGGACACAGAGACCATAATGCAATTGGTGTCACGATCTTGAAACACCGACTTCGGTGGCTTGGACATGTTCTACGAATGTCGTCCCGGAGAATTCCAAGTCGTGCATTATTCGCCAACTCTGGGACTGGTTGGAGAAAGCGGAGAGGTGGTCGGTATATGACATGGTGTCGTGGTATGAAAGAAAGCTGCAAAGGACTGGCTTGTGTTGGTCCTTCACGACTCCCTGGTTGGGGTCCGAGAGATGGTGATACACAGTGGCTAGAAACTTTTTCAGATATGGCTCAGAATAGAAGTCAGTGGCGATCCTGCTGTAACCTTCTTTTACTTCTTCATAAAAAGTGGTTGTACCTTCTTTAACTGAAAGATTTCTTCTGATTGTACCTTTCCGTTC